TCACTCTCACTCTCTGAATGCACTCGACTCTCAAACCCTATCAGCTATGGTGCCGTCTTCCTCCGTGCTGGTCCTAGCTATGGCGCCTTAGCTCCAACAATTGCCCGACCGGTCTCCTCGAACCGTCACACAAGCGTACAGTAGCACTTCCTCAACATGCGAATTGACAAGTGTGTTGCCCAGAGTACTGTAGCTGCCTCAGTAGCGGCTGAATTGGTAACTTAGTCAGCTCCAGACTGCTAAAGGTCTCCCAGGGCCTGTCGGCTGCACTTTTGCCAGTTCCGGAAGTCATCGGACTCTCCCAGGATGCTGCTGCTAAATTTAGACTGGGACCTTTTCTTGTTGGGTGCTGGGCCTACTGGACTTCTAATGACCTAGACCTCTACCGACCTGCTGGGTCTGAATCTGCAACTGGGCCGCTGGGCCTGCTGGTTCGGTTCATTGTACATGGGATTGGGACCATTGGGACTCTGGGACTGGGACTTGGGACAAGACTAAGACGTGAAATCCTTGCACTTGGACCCTGATCATGCAAACAAGACTGCGAAACTAAGCAGCCGTCTATGGTTGATTATGTATCAGGCAGTGCCAGTCAACAAATGGCTTAACCAAAGAAGGAAGAAGGAAAACACCATGTCCGACCAGGCTGCATGTCGCAATGTGTACAATGAACAAGAGCAAGAAACCCTGATCCACTGCTTCGTCACGTGCACAAAAGCCAGGAAAGTATGGCAACTCCTTGAACCTTTTTCCTTTTCTTTTTCTTTTTTTCAAACACAAGAAGCTTTATCATTTGCTGAAAAGCAGGTCCAGCAGCTCCTTGAACTAACCTGGGCACGCATACATGTCACAGAGAAATAAATGGTCTAGAAATTTCTAATGAGCGGATGCAGGACTCCACACAAAAACAAAAAGGAAAGAAAGAAGAAGAAGAAGAAGAAGAAGAAGAAGAAGAAGAAGAAGAAGGAGAAGAAGGAGCAGCAGCAGCAGCAGCAGCAGCAGCAGCAGCAGCAGCAGCAGCAGCAGCAGAAGAAGAAGAAGAAGAAGAAGAAGAAGAAGCAGAAGCAGAAGCAGAAGCAGAAGAAGCAGGGTCCTACCGCAATCGATGTAACGTTTTTTTTTAGATTCGCGTTCGCGCCGCTCGGTTAGCACTAATTTTTGTGCCGCCGCACGGACCATCGCCCCGAGCCCTATCTCGGCCATCGCTCGGAAGCGCGCGGCGTCGGGATGAGAGGAGAAGCTGCGATGTTCAACGCCTAGGCGCCTAGGGCAGCTGGAGACATAAGATAGAATACCGTCGATAGGGCGGGGTCAATCCCGTAGGCCAACAGAAGAGTGTTAGAGATAAGCTCTCTATCAAGGCCTCATCCTGATCGGAACAACGAAGGAAGCTTACCTAGCCGTACACTACATAAGAGGAAGTACAGTATCGGTTGCTGAAGAGGACAAATCGGAGTATAGAGCAGCAGGAGACTAGATACGACGGGCGAGATCTGAGGGGGAGGGGAAGAAATCGAAGAATCCAAGAAGAGAATCTAAGGTGAGGATCTAGGCCTAAGACTTGATCTTCTCACCCATTTTCCAATTACGGAAGGCCAGGGCACGTGCGGGCGCTAGTGAGGTGAGAGGGCCGCTGCTGGGCAGCGGAGCGCAGGCAGCCATAGCCCAGCTGCAGGGCGCCAGGGGGTAAGGGGCGATCGGTGGTCTTCAGCAAGGAGGCGAGTGTGGGTGGTCAGGGTCTGATGAGGGGAGACGAGATACGTACCTGGTGCATGAGGGAGGTCGGCTATGGTGTTGATGTCATGTACATTGGTCTTCAAAGTCGAAGTCAGCCTGTTGCGTGAATGCGGATGTAGTAGGATAGACAAGTAGTGTAGGCTGGGCGCTGGGCGCCAGACAGAGAGGAGCGACATTGGATACTGTGTTGGTGCGGCCTGAGGGCTTGAACATTGGCTCAAGAGTTCATTGCATTGCTCTTATTTGGATGGAATCTCGGTGCACTTGTGCTCTCAGCTTGTACGTGACTACTTGGACATCTGTGTGATTTCACATTGGCTTTCTGTATATCGTTCCCACTCATATTCCTTGCACTCCTGTCGCCTACTAGGGAAGGTGATAAGAGCACCCCCCCTTAGTAGCCTGGCCTTCGGCTGCTCCCATCTATTGATGGGGAGCTGCACCTGCTGGAAACCGGGTCCAGCATCCCTCATTCGTGATCAGAGCAATTTGTAACACGCCGCACAGCATTGATTGCCCTCTCACAAGAGAGGGGAGTTAACTGTCTGTCAGGTGGGCCATCGTCAATGTTGTGACCCTAGCTCTTGGCAGCTAAGGAAATTCCTACACACCCCTGCATCATGATGGAATCAACTCACTTGACAGCCTTGCCCTCTATCTGCATGTTCTTGTAGTCATGTTGTTAAGAGAAAATTGTTATGATTCTGGTTGTTTGTTGCCTGAAGGCCAACACTCACTCACATAGACTTCCGGATATGCCCATACATACACAGAAGGAAGGGGAGAGGATAAGAGTATCACACCGCACAGGGAGAGATAAACACAGCGGAAGACTTGACCATGCGATATGACAGGGTACACTGAATGTGCAATTCACTCCACTGAAT